CGTTTGCCACCGGCGCAGCTCCGTCTGACATGGTATTCAATTTAATAATTACGCACCCCTCCATCCGGAGGGGGGATTACCTTTGTTTTATTTCGCTTACTTATTCAGTAGGCCATGAAATTTAACTCTGTAAGAAAAGCAGTTCTTTTCATGTCAAAATTTTAACTGGATTTTTAGTTTACCATAATAAACCTATTCTTTTAATGATAGAGGTGGACACTTGACTTCACTTGATGGTAGTAGTTCACTATAGCGTGTAAATAAGGTGCGCTGTCGACCTATTTTTTGGCTTTGGATATTCGGAAATTCACAGACTGCAACCGAAACGCGATTAAGCTTCTAGGCGTTTTCATCTGCGGACGATGCTTCGTCACCCGGACGGAATATCTTTATTCCTACCACCCAATTAATATCCAGATTACCAGACGCACATATTGGACATGTTTCAGAAGAATACATCATTTGAAAAATTAGGGAACATGTTCGTCCCGGTTGGGAACGAACCCAAGACCGTTTAGCCATACATTGCAATCATTAGAACGAACTTGAAAGTTAGGTTATGTTGGGTTTAATGAATTTCATATTACACCTTCAAACTAAAACGCCCACTTCGTGGCCCCACGAAGAAATTCAACTTTTGCATTATTAATCATTAGTTCGTTAGGTCATTGTTAGAGTTCGCCGTTTTAAAAGGATTTCGGCGATTTCTTCAATTTGCCGAGTGGATTTGTCTGTTTGAGAGTTAATCTATTCATAGAGTTTTTGTTCTGAGCGCTTTGAAATGAATCGAGTTAAGAAACTTTTCATCTATAAGTGCCTACCTATAATTTAGATGTCTTATTTATTTGGTAAGTTAAGTGGCATATTTGTCCTTAACTTCCTACTACTATTATAAAGGCGAAAGTTTGTAAGTATGGATGTATGGATGTATGGATGTATGGATGTTTGTTACTCTTTCACGTAAAAACTACTGAATGGATTTGAATGAAACTTTACCACAATATAGCTTATACATCAGAATAACATATAGGCTACAATTTTTGAGGTTTTTAATGTCGGGTCGTAAAAAAACACATTTTTTGCGCTTACATTGCAAACGCTGACTGAATCCTACAAGATAGATCAAAACAATGTACTACAGTATTGTACAACTTAAAAAGGTCTCCAAAAAAGTCCGTGATGGTATATGTTTATCTCTTAGGAATAACCCACAATAACCATTTTTTATCCTTTACTTTGTACGAGAAATAATGGCTTATTTACGAAGCGATTTTAAGCAATACAGTATTAATCCTTATCCAATTAAGTATCTTAAATACATTGTGCATTTATTAAAGATCAATATGGCTTTTTACAGCATGTAAATTAAATAAATATTTTCGAAGATATCACAGATTTAAAATGCAGAGTCATAGGAATTTCGGCGATAAATACCGGCAGCGGTGCCAGGCGAACGGGGCGTGGGGGGAGCGGGGTAGGTGCGGTAGGGAAGAAGTGGCTCATCGCTGAGTGCGCGACCCGAAATCGGGCAGACGCGTGAGGGCAGACGTCGTTGACGGTTGTGTCCGTTTTGCGAATTTTCAAGGCACTAGCGATTTGATAAAAACGTATGGTCGCCTACTTTTAGTTATATAAGCCTAAGGTTGTTATTGCCAGGTTTCTTTTTGGTTAGGAGTTACACGTACAAAAAGATACTTCATTTAATTCAATTACTATATAGATAGGTTAATTAAATAGGCAAGGATTGCATTAAAGTACAATCATAACAATAACTACCGTACTGTATTTTTTGGAAGTATAGAAACAACACGTACTTAAGAATTATGCCGCGAAAGCGTAAGTCTAATCTTTCTGAAGCTCTGATAAAACTCGAAATATGAAAGTAGCTAGACTTAACGAGACGTTTCCACAAGCCGAACTGCGAAGGCTTAAACAAGCAGAGCGTGAGGCAGCTCAAAGAGCTGCTGAGACACCAGAGCAGTCCCAAGATAGACGTCGACAGCATGCTGAGTATCTAGCATCTCAACGGGCTGCAGAGACACCCGAACAGTCTCAATCTCGACGTCAACAGAACGCTGAATATCTGGGATCTCAACAGGCTTCTGAGACACCCGAACAGTCGCAGGATCGACAGCATTCGATAAAACTGCATTTGAGTACGATGAAACTCTTGATTACGAAAACCACAAGCTTATAAAAATAGAAGCGATGAATAAAGAATGCAGATTTTGCGGTGCTCTTAAATGGAAAGAGGAAGCAGGAGGCATGTGTTGTTCGGGAGGAAAAGTAGTTCTTCCTTCAATAGACGAGCCTGTTGAACCTCTTAAAGAACTTTTTTTTCAAATGAAACAGATGAGTCTCGCCGTTTTTTAAAAAACATAAAAATTTTCTCACGGTCAGCTCTATGTGGCTTGCTCACGTCTTTCCAAAGCGAGGAATCTGCATGTTTATGCTGAAGGAAAAAGATCGTTAAATGTAGTTTATAGGAGCATACTGCAGTAGCGACCTATAGACCTATGATTAGGGCTCTGCAGTGCTTAGTTACCGTATTTCTAACTGATTACTAGACTAGACGGGACGAACCTGAAGTCCACGCGAACGAAGTCGCGGGCAAAAGCTAGTGTATAATAAAGGTGGAAGGAATATCGAGATTTCGTCCGGCCACTAATCACCCTCCACGGATATAAACGAAACGTTTTTTGAGTTTGGAATATCCAAAGCCAAATATGGACGCATCTAGTTTAGTTGTTATAAGCACAAAAAGACATAAGAATGTGCCTGCCAAATGTGCATTGGTTGAGAAAAACAATTAGGTATTGTCTACTACATGAAGAGTACATATTTAACGGTTCGAAAAACGAAATGTATTAAAATAATTTGTATTAAAAATTAAATATATTGTAAGTAAGCTAATTAATATATTTCGCAGTTTAAGCCGTTAAAAGTGTTTTATTAAAATGAAGTTTCACTTATGTCTTTATTCTATGTGAATATAGAAATTGTTCAACACTCTGATATCGTGTAATACAAAGTAGTCAATGTGACACAAAAATTATACCTACATCGTTATATCAAAAGAGCTTTTGACCTTTAATAAAACCAAAAGAGTTGAAGACGCAGTCTTATAAACCTCTACGTTGTACACCAAAAAATACCTCCCCCCCCCCACCAGAATCACTCGCTCGAATAACGCCGATGTTTAAATGATAAATGATCCACCGATACCACAATAACGTTGTCAAGATTAATTAATGCCAAAGTGTAGTCTAAATAGTTAGTTAAGCTACAGAAGCGATCAAAGGCCTTTGGATTCTTTGTGCCTCGTCAATTCAGCCTCGAAAGTTACAAAATTTTCAAGTTGCTAAGTTACTAATTCAACCTTTGTTTGTGATAGAAAGGTTATTTTTCATTATTGACGGGCGTGATGAGCTCATTCATGAGATTCTTTACCCGACTACGGAGATAACGAGAAGGGTAATGATTTTGTCGATTCATGTATGCAAGTAGGTATTTTACTAATGACAAAGAACAAGAGACAAATAACAGAAAACGACTTGCCCTATAACATGAAGCACAACAACAATTACAAAGATGATGAGCGATATTTTTAATCTTTCACATTTAAAAATACACAGTGTGCGATCTTATTAATGTAAGACTTGTATAATGTGTGCTATACTACTTTGACACTAAACAGCTGAATCAATGTTAATTAATTAGACGTTAAACGGAAAATACCATCTCGACATTGACTATTTACAAATTGTATAAAAATTATATACGTAATATAACTTTAGTTAAATAGTGTAACTTCTATGAGGCTTAACACGAAATATAGTAGCTCTCTTCATTAAACAAACAAGAATTGCATTATTGTGTTTTAAATTCATTTAGGACAAGACCATACCTAGCTTTCGTAATTTACCTAATTGTCGATTTAAAAGATTTACTAGTACTGAAACGTAACTTCCAAGAAAACCCAACAAAAATAATGTAATGACAACTACTGCCACCTCGTGGAGGAAATGTGGACTAAAAACTAACATACTGTTATTAATCGAGATCGAGATTCGAGATCGAGGATCGAGAATCTATACAAAAACTTGCTAAGAAAGGTATTCCTCAGATTTTGTTAAAAGCGGTTAGCAACCTTATCCTACCTACATATTATATGTAAGTATATTTATATGTAGTATATTCTACAAAATAACAACCTGTTTATAATTATTAATAAGAACATAGCGCACATAGCTTACTGCAGAAAAACTCAAAGTTACTAAATGAGCGTAATACCTACCTAGTTACGTAAAACGCTGTCTGTAATTAGGTACCTACTTTGGTAAGGAGTAAAAGATGAAACCCTGTTTTATTCTAAACAAAAGGATGTAGGTAAATAATTATAGCACTCAACCAAGCTTCCAAAAAAACAAATACATAAAATAAAAACAATTTAGTTTATTTATGGCGTTAACAAAGTTTTTTACTCTATATTACATCGTTGGTACTGACATTGATTTGGACTTTAACGCTAATATTTACAGAAAAAAAATCTATCCACTTACAATACAATCAACTATTATACAGATAAATTCTTCACAATGAAACTGGTCGTGATAAATAATTTACAACTTATACTAAACTAGACCTCGATGTAGATCCTAAACGTTAAACTTAACAAAGAAATCCTAATAGTGACAAGAAACTGTTGTAAGGATGTCGTCAGATCTTAAACATAGCTAGACACCTACAAGAATAATCTCTTTTTTGGTACCGATCTCACTTAACTGACGATAAAGCTAAACTACATTGAAATGCGTTGAAACAAAAATCACAGTTACACAAACTTAAACCGTTCCAACAACGGGACTACAACATATTTACAGAACACTTGATATGAGACGCACTTTAACTAAGCTTTAATCTAAAACAATAAATAATGTTCATATTTTAATTGTCTATAACACTTCACTGCCTTCCGTGGAGGGAAGCGGCACCGGTCTTCAATAGATCACGGAAACGGGCCGCCTGAGTTGGTCGTCGTGCGGACTGTGCTGGGTTGGCGTTGCAGGTGATACTGGCGACGGTGGCGCTCCGTACTGATGGAACAACGGTGAAGAGAACGGCTTCGGAGGACCCGTCGGTGTGGTGTATAACGATGAATAGAAGGACGATACAACCGCCGCCGCAGAAGACGCCGTCGGCAACTTCTCCGCCGTCGGTGCCATTAACTTAGAGAACTGTAAGTGGTCCAATTGATGGGGAAAATACGGTGGCACCGCCGGGTAAGATAGAGCATCTAGATGTCCCACTGTCGGAGCCGGTCCGGCGAAGTAGGGCAACGGGAAACTTGGAAATGCGCCAGCGCCGGGCGCGCTGCCGGGCGTCGGGGGTTTCGGCTTCCTTCGTGGCCTGTATTTGTAGTCTGGGTGCTCCTTCATGTGCAACGCGCGGAGCCGTTTCGCTTCATCTATGAACGGTCTCTTTTGCATCTCCGATAGCAGCTTCCACTCTGCCCCGAGGCGCTTCGATATCTCCGAATTGTGCATCTTCGGGTTGTCCTTGGCGATCTGTCTGCGCTGCAGGCGGGACCACACCATGAAAGCGTTCATCGGTCTCTTGATGTGTCCCTCCGATTGAGGCGAAGAGGCCGGGAGGGGCTGCGGAGCGCTGGGATACTCCGGCAGCATGCCGGGGTGCATGGAGAACGCGTACGGGTGATGACTGAGTGTCGACATGTTATCGATCTCCAACTATTGGAGCATTGGCTATGGCACAAAGGTGAATGGGCACTGAGAGGCGATTGTTTCGCGTCGAAGTCGGACGATAGACTGAGGAGCTCGTGTGGTGCTCGCGTGGGTATCGGGCCGGCGCGGGACGGGGCTCTGGGCGGGGTGGGCGCCGCCAATGGGGGCCGCGCGAGTACGGCCCACCTTGCGCCTATCGCCGTCTCTATTCGGCGCACAGTGCGGTGCGTGTCCGTCTCCCTCGCGACAATACCCCATGCCGTACAGGCGTACAGCTGGTTCGAGGCATATCGCCTCAACACGACTTCATGCATGATATAACCGCTGGAATAGGAGCGAGCTTTGCTTCACACTTCTATTCCGAAGTTTCTTTAGTGCTTCAATCAAAGACCTTTTTATTGCTACTTATTGAAGTTTATGGAATACGATACTGATATATTAAATGTTGTACCTGCGTTGTTATGTTTATTGCGTCGATGTTTGGTGGGATATTAAGTTAAATTCGATGTCATTCTATCTGTTTGGATACACCCAGTGTTATATATAGAATTAAGATGACATTACAATTTCATGCGGTTTTCCTTAACTAAAGTACATGCCTACATACATTTCGTAGGATAACAGAATCTGTTTATACAATTATAATATGCCGCGTATAATATAATAAACTAAAAGCATGTCATTGTAAAGCATTTGCTAGCTTAATACTAACTAAAGTATTTTAAGCTAGGTTTAGGTATAACATTTTGAAATCTATAGGTAAGTAAAATACATAGGTACCTAGAAAAACACTTGAGAATCATGTAGGTAGAGTAGGTATTTAGTTAATGATTATCTGTTAATTAATAATATATTATTAACAGTAGGCTTTGTGTGATTTCGTTACTGTTTTACAGGCGAGTAGTACATAATTATTATTAAATATTGACTAATAAATGATTTAATATTAAATAGTTCTGTATCTGTTCTGACCTAAGACGTAAATAATTTTTGATTTATTCCGGGATTCGCACCCAAGACCGCTCGCGCCTAACACGTGCGTTTTCGTGCAATACCATTAATTACGTTCGTTTACGCGTTATCTTTACCGAACCGAGTTTTTTATATTACTTAAAAGGTATAATATTAATTCGTAATTAACTGTCTCATACCCGTCAAACAAAAGTGGTTCTGTTACTTCTCGAAAACAATTATGTAGAGACCACCATAAAAATATTATTTTTACACTGCATAAGGACTTATAAGCTGTAAATTTAAACGGAATCTTTTTGAAGTAGTCTTTACTAACCCTGCTTACGATTATCAAATTTCGACTCTATAGTTTGACAGTAGAGTTTACATTGCTTTGTTCTTTATGTGTAAGGATCCCGAGTCCTAGACTTTTGTTCACTAAATGTTCCAAGAAGCGTGCCTTTAATAGTACAATAAAATAATTATAAATCTAAGTTATTATTTCTTTCCTTTTTATGGCACCTTGTACCATTTTGCTTTGAATTTATGCGCGTCGTTACAAAAGCGAAATTACGTATTTTTTTTTATTCTAGGACTAAAATTATATTATATCAATAGTAAATCACTGTCAACTCGTTTATATAATACAAACTTAAGATTAGGTACGTAACCTACAACCGTAAGAATTTGGTAAATATGAGATTTTCTAGAGGCCTCAGATTCTTCTAAAAGCTGCCTTCTAGAGATAACCACGCAATTGAGATTTTTGTTTCAATTTCAATGCCAAAATATGACCACCAACGACCACCACCAATGTCAAATATATTAAAATAATGCATGGTTCACTTTTCTAAGCATTTTAATACAAGTAGCGCCATCTAGGCGGTGGATATTGAAACTTGGAAATGCTATGCGCTTCTCATAACAACAAATATTAATTAAAGAAATTTTACAATTTGTGACTAAATACAATGAATTAATAATAAAAAAGTGGTTTTAAATTTGTTAGAATCACGCTCTTCGTCCCTTCTTCTACTCTGATGTAACAACGGTTAAAGAACTCGTAATATATTGGTAAGTATAAATTTTTATAATAACAGGTAAACGTTTCGGATGTTTCTTATCAGCCATGGTCATAGTGGGATTATTATACCTTTAAAAAATTAGCAGGTATATTTATTCCACACCTAGCAACTGCGTAAACCAGATATTTAGATATAAAACGGTTAGGATGATATTATTGGCCTTCGAATATACATTTTTTTTTATATTGACTTCCAAGTACTCATTTACCTGACGTCCAAAGCCAGTTACTAAAAGGGGATACTATTAAACAGAAATATAATTATTTAATTGCTGTCGTGTGCCGCTCGAAGCTGTTAAAAATCATAAAAATGTTCTTCATTTCACCATTATTTACATTTATTACTTGTCTTTGTAGTTTGCAATTTTAAATTCTTTTAACTTTTTTCATAGATATCGGCGAAGATCATGATGAGATATATGTATTCTGTTTTCTCGTGTTATTTTTACTTAAGTGCTTAGTTTCTAGATTTCGTTTTTATCTTTTAAGATGTTTTGTAAAATGCAAAATAGCTTTTTTGTAAATCAGATATACATACAAATATAATAAAACACAAATGTAATAACAAAATGTCTTTCAAAGTGGAAAGGAAAAGCGTGACGAAGCGAATAGAAGTAGAAGAGAAAAGAATAAAGACAATTCCACATCATTTGCTTAATATTTATTACTATGGAATAACATGTATATACATACAGTATGTATATACATGTATCACTATACAGTAATATGTATGTAAATTTGTATTACAAATTACTAATCCTGCAAAGTAATCGAAACGTCCGTAGTTACAAATAATTTAAGTATACAATAGTTTTTAGTTTTACTGTTAAAAGTTTTGTATTTAAATGTCTCACGTAAACTGCAAACAATACAAAATTTGAATCGCCAAGAATATTACGAAGGTGCTCTATCTATCTTATTTATGTCGATATTTTGGTGTGCTAGCATTTCCCCTACAGCTTACATTAAGTTAATTGGATAATATATAAAAATGTGACTTAAAGACAATACGTACATTATTGAAATTGCCCTACGCGAGACGACCGCACTGTATTATCATTGGGAGCCGTTAACTGGGTGCATTCTTGCTGAAAAATAATGGGCCCTGCGCACGAGGGCCGGTTTCACGGAGTTCAAGATCGCTATATTGACGCCGATTAAATTCACGGAGTTAAGGGTATTGACACCGATTAAAATGACTGCGACATTCACTTCGTTAATAATGAGTAATGTTTTATGTCAGTCATGCGCGTAACCAGCACTTTCATTGTTTTATTTATGTATCTACTTAAGTACAAATAATTTTTGGCCGATATGTATTATTATTGAAATAATATCCAATATTTTTAAAGAAATAGGGGTTTTCACCGACCTTGTTGAAGTTCTAACAAGTTTGTTAAGATAGAGAAGGACAGATAAACATGGGGGTTAATATATAAATATGACATAGAAGCAGAAGCCCTGTCGACCTATTTTGTCTTTGGATATTCGGAAAATTATACCCTAAAGGCGAAACGCGATTAAACTTGACTGTTTTTTTAACTATTAACGGTAAGTGACCCGAACGGAATTGAAATTATCTTACAACCATTTAATACCCACGCTTCCAGACAAAGTCTGTTGTTCAGAAAAATTAAAACCGAATGGAAATACCGCGACCGGTCGATTATTAGCCTTACACTGCCCGCCCGTCAAATTTGCATTTATGGAACATTTTTTCAAATCGATTTTTTAATCACACGTTAAACATTGTTTAAACACCCGTTAATACCGCCCTCTCTCGTAGCTTAAAAAAACTTTAATGATATGTCGAGTGAGGTGTCAAGGGAAATTTGAGTAAATTAAAATAGGAAGATAGAGCGAATAAGGCTGCAACTCGCATTGTACTAGACGCGAACTGAGCGAAAAACTAACTAGCTTTTCATTTTGCCTCCCTTTCCTACACCGTACAGGTGAAAGGGACGGCTGCATATAATTGTGGTTCATAGACGCCCTCTTGCATTGTAGCGGTAGTAAGTAATTAGGTGTGGTGCTTCATATGAAATATTAAAATAATGTTATTATATGCTAGGTAATGCTCTTAATATATTACTTGGGGGAAGTAAGGTATTGTTTTGTGGCTATGAAGAAATATTGGCTTTTAATTAATATCTAAATCAAAACAGTAGGTACAAAACTTGACTGCATTGATGTCTAAGGGTGGTTTTAGATGCGTTTAAAAAAGAATTTGTATTTTATGACGTAGCTATGTAAATAAATTTGAGATTAAATACTTTTACAATCGCGAGAAATTTCGGTAGATACCTCAATATAAGTTCACAGTGCATATAGCTCAATCAAAAGATATATTAATTCGTGTTTCAAATCCCGGGGTAACAGTAAATTGATTCGGTCGGGCAGAGCACAGTCTGACAACTACTATACTGTAAAAGGCATCAGTAAAACGAACACAGAAATATGTTCACCCCACGCCCCATGAGGGGAAACGGAATATCACTTTTATACATGTAACGTTTCAGCTTTGTAAAACTTATTGATATTTACAGTGCTGTCGTCAAATGTCTATTTTGATGTCTGTTCGTCTCCGTTTATAATAAGTAATTATAAATGCACGTATAAAGCGAAATAATTAAATACGACTGTCCGTTACACTATTATCCAAAGACTATTTTTAAAACAAAAGACAAAAACAAAGTCATAAAATGTTTAAATGAGACAAAAGTTAGGGTTTATACCACGATCTACATTCATACAATGGACCCTTATAACCGCAATAAATAAAACATTGTTTAGCTAACAGTCGTCCTTCGTTTGACGACAGTTTAAAGATTATTGCTTGGCATTAGGAATCTAATCACTTATTATGTGAAGCATTGTTCTAGAAGGAAAACCGTTAACTACGTCACTATAAAGTTGTGCCGTGTGCACAATGTAAACTGCTTTGGCAGTTCCCACAGCTGGGACTCGCACAAGTGGATACAATAGATTGAAAAATTCGACGATGACGTGTGGGACTCGGTAGCTCAATTGGTAGAGCAACAGCACGGAACGCTGACGATGCCGGTTCAAGTTCTGCCCGAGTCGTGAAATTTTTCGATTGATAATCGATTTTTAGTTTATAACATCTATGTTGTTAGATGAAACTAGCTATATTTTCGTTTAAGTTATGTCAGTTTTGTAATCCTATATTTTCCTAAATCCGAACTCACCTATCAAATGTATC